AAAAGCGTCATCTTAGCACATGCGGTCCCCTCACTATAAATAGGCTGTTATACATGAGAAAAACGTGAACGTTTTTAAAGCTGTGACCAATATAGTGTGAATGAGTCACTTGCTGCAACAATCCCAAAAAATGTACACATTGATTCAGACCAATTTGCGTTATATTCAAATTATTTGGAATGGAAAAAGGGAAATTAACTTGCTATCATCACAGTTGTTGGCCATTTTTCCCCAGAAATAGCTTGAGCATAGCTTAAAGATTTAAGATATTATACTAAAAGCGTTGTAATCCAGGTTTAGGCTTAATAATTTAAATATGTTTAAGTTAAATTCTATGTTAAAACTGACAGTTTTAGTTTCTGCAAAAAAGGGTGACAGTGTTTTAGTGTGTACATAATGGCACTTGTATATTTTATTAAGTAACATAAAAAGAATCTATTGTAGCTGCATAAAGCGGCACTTTACCAACACATTCAAAACCTGTATACTTTTAGCATTTGAGTCTGTTTAGACCTGAAAAGTGGTTATGTTATTAAATAGCCGTATGTATGTATGTAGGTAGGTAGGTAGATTGGTTGGCTGGTTGGTTGGTAGTAAGGTTGTTAGGATGGAAGGTTGGTTGGTAGGTAGGTTGGAAGGTTAGTAGGTTGTTAGGTAGGTTGGTTGGTAGAAATGTTGTTATGTTCATTGGTGGGTTGGTAGGAAGGTGGGTAGGTTGGTAGGAGGGTTGTTAGGTAAGTAGGTTGGTTGGTAGGAAGGTTGTTAGGTAGGTTGGTTGGTTGGTAGGAATGTTGTTAGGTTGGTTGGTTGGTAGGAAGGTTTTTAGGTTGTTAGGTAGGTTGGTTGGTAGAAATGTTATGTTCATTAGTGGGTTGGTATGAAGGTTGATAGGTTGGTAGGAAGGTTGTTAGGTAAGTAGGTTGGTTGGTAGGAAGGTTGTTAGGTAGATTGGTTGGTTGGAAGGTTAGTAGGTTGTTAGGTACTGTAGGTTGGTTGGTAGAAATGTTGTTATGTTCATTGGTGGCATGGTAGTAAAGTTGTTAGATGGGTAGGTTGGTTGGTAGTAGTGTTGTTAGGTAGGTAGGTTGGTTGGTTGGAAGGTTAGTAGGTTGTTAGGTAGGTTGGTTGGTAGAAAGGTTGTTATGTTCATTGGTGGGTTGGTATGAAGGTTGATAGGTTGGTAGGAAGGTTGTTAGGTAAGTAGGTTGGTTGGTAGGAAGGTTGTTGGGTAGATTGGTTGGTTGGAAGGTTAGTAGGTTGTTAGGGACTGTAGGTTGGTTGGTAGAAATGTTGTTATGTTCATTGGTGGCTTGGTAGTAAAGTTGTTAGGTGGGTAGGTTGGTTGGTAGTAGTGTTGTCAGGTAGGTAGGTTGGTTGGTTGGAAGGTTAGTAGGTTGTTAGGTAGGTTGGTTGGTAGAAATGTTGTTATGTTCATTGGTGGTTTGGTAGGAAGGTTGGTTGGTTGGTATAAAGGTTGGTAGGAAGGTTGTTAGGTAAGTAGGTTGGTTGGTAGTAAATTTGTTAAGTAGGTGGATTGGTTGGTAGAAAAGTTGTTGGGTAGATTGGATGGTAGGAAGGTTGGTTGGTAGTAAGGTTGTTAAGTAGGTAGGTTGGTTGGTAGGAAGGTTGGTAGGTAGATAGGTTGTGGTCTCTAGCTGAAAACTATAGTTTTTTTGTAAAATGTTTTATGTGCATCTTTGATATCAAAATACATTACAGGGGTTTAAAGTATTGATATTAATCAGCATGATAATACAGGTGCTAAAATTCACCTTAATTTTAAATATAGCAGCAGGTGCAGCCTTTTCCGTTATCATTCTCTTCCAGTAATTACAATAACAGTCAGTTATGTTGCTTGAGATTGCAAGCTGCCATTTGTTATCATATTATTCTAGTTAACTGTCATGATCATAAGCACACTCACTTCGCTGCCAAATTGTTTTAAAAACTTGGCAAGTACTTGTGTAGGAACAATGCACACGATCTCACAATTTTTTTTTAAGCTGAATACTAGTATCTTGAAAAATATCTAGTCAAATATGTTTAAAGAAATCAGTTATTAAAGCTATTATGTTTAGAAATGTGTTCATCTGCTTTTCATTAAACTGAAATTGGGGGAGAAAATATACAGGGGGGGGGGGCTAATAATTTAAAATAAGATCTATAATAAACTATCTTTTTGATTTGGCTGTACTGATGACCATAGATGACCATTTTTTTTTAATTCTTCTGGCGAACCCTGGAGCTCTCTGCGCATTTTGGGATATGAGTCACTGATATTCGCTCCAGGCTTTGCTTACAAATACAGGCCTGAGTGATTTTGGCTGATAAGCCTGGGGGTTTCTGGGCCTGGAGCCTGCTGGGAGGGAGAGCGAGGCTGCGCTGCGAAGGGAAAGCACCTGGAAAGCGTCCACCCCTGAGCAGGGTCACTGAGTTTTGTCTGGAGACTCTCCCTACTGTAACTCTTATCCTGCATACTGAGTCTGACTGGTCTCCTGCTGCCCGGAGAAGCATATGACCGGTCAAAGAGCTCAGTTTGGAGGTAGAGAGACGGTATATACTGAATAATCATCCTTATAGCTCAAGATTAATTTAGCCTCCGGTGTTTTAGGGAATGATAAAGGAAGTCATTTTTACCAACGTTGATCAGATTGTATAATCGATGTCATCATGAGTTATGTAGAGTTGTAACGGCATTGATACTGTAGATATGGATTAGTGTATACTTGTTGCTTGAAACTAAGGTGTGCAGTATGGATGTAATTTTATCATTATTATTAACTTTATAATTTATTATTATTATTATTATTAATTATTCTTATTAAATTTCTTTAATTTCCCTTTGGTATTAATAAAGTCTAAACGAACAAACACATACATTTGGGTATGTGTGTGTGCATTGACAGCTGGGAATTATAATACAATCGTAGAATACAAAAACAATTGGTCACACTATTTTCATGTATAATTCATGTTATTGACAAACAGTTAACTAAGATTTTTTTTCTTAATAAACTGCTCATTTGCTGCTTATTAATTGTTGGTAAGGTAGAAGCTGGGTGTTGGTATTAGAATGTAAAATAAGATCATGATAACAAGCTATGTCTTAATGTCTTATTCATTTGGGCGGCCTGATGCATTCGTTAGCAAGAACTTTGGTGCAGATAAGACACTGTGGCTGGGTCAGGGACTCTTTGCTTTGAGGAAAGGAATAAAACCATAGTTCATGTAACTATCTTGGTATTTCCTGCATTTCGTGTTTCCAGTATTGCTAGTGCTGCGACCCAAAATGTTGGAGCTTCCTCGTCAGGGTCCAGTATGCTGTAGACATGGGACAATAACCGTGTTCAAGGTATACTGCGGTTTGGAAAAATCAAGGTTTTAAAGCCGTCAAAATTTTATGCTATACCGTTCTTAAGGTATGAGAACGTTTTTTTATTTATTTATTTTTTTATTTCGTTTTTAGGACAGGTTTTTTTTTAGGATTTTAAAAAAATCTGTGTTTTTAAAGCAAATGAAGACAGCAGAAGTCAATAATTCATTTGAATTATTTAGCCTGACGTGTTTACTGCTCTTAAATATTTTAAATGTTTCTCAAATTAAATGTATATTGTGTACAAAGGGGAAAAATGTTTTGTTTTTTACCCAGACATTTAAAAAATACATATATTTAAGAGCAATAATCTCAATACCGTGATATTTATATTCAAGGTTATCATACCGTCAGAATATTATACCGGTCAGTGCCTAGTCATTATTAGCTGAATCAGCAAGACTCAGCTTTGTGGAGGAGGAATTACAAATTGGACCATTTTCTTTTCTAGAGGCTTGGTCTGGTTTTGCGCAACTGCTGATGCTTGAATTCTTGCTTGAACCTTAGGTCTTAAATTGGCAATAAATTTGCAGAAAAAATAATCATTTTAGGAACTTATGAAGTAATATTTTTTATTTGTGTATTACGGTGTCAAGTTTGAGAATTTTTTTTAAATCTAATCCAAATGTATAAATATACAGAAGTATTTTAAAACAAATTTAGTTTATTTAGGTTATTATTATTATTATTATTATTATTATTTATAAACATTTAAATTTATTTTTTATTTTTTAAATGCTGGTGTTTTAAAGATTTGTCTTAATTTCGATTATTCAAAACTAAATACATAGTACATAGTAGCAACTTTTTTTAATATTTCTTATTTATTAATACAAATAATTATTTATTTATTAAAACATTACTTTATATACATTTATTTTAGATTTTATTCCTACATCACTTTATGTAACAATATTCTAGTTTTGTTATTATGTATAAAAATATTATTATTATTATTATTAATATTATTTATAAAATTTTTAAATGTAGTTTTTATTTTTTTTAATGTAGGTGTTTCAAAGATTTGTCTTAATTGGGGTTATTCAAAACTAAATACATAGTACATTGTAGCAATTATTTTTATATGAATTATTTATTAATTACAATGAATAATTATTTATTTAATTATTTATTTAAAAATATTTATGTACATTTATTTGAATTTTTATTACTAGATCACTTTATGCAACAATATTCTAGTTTTGTAATTTTATATAAAAATCTTGTTTTTATTATTATTTATAAACTAAATGTATAAATTTAGTTTTCATTAGTTTTTATTTTTTAAATGAAGATGTTTCAAAGATTTGTCTTAATTTTGATTATTCAAAAATAAAATACATATGACATAGTAGCAAGTATTTTTATAATTAATTATTATAACATTAATTTTTTGAAATATTTAAATCAGATTTTATTCTTACACCGCTTTATGCAACAATATAATTTTTTTGTAATCATATATTTTAATTTTGTATTCTATTGTATTTTTTAAAAGGAGCATTGTCTAATCCCTGATAAAAGATTGTCACTGATTACATAGACAATCTATAGGTGATCTGTAAGACAATGTAAATAAAGAGATCTGAGGCTACCGATTTAAAAGATTATATTTGTGTGTGTCCAGGTTGTGACATTATGGTATCGAGCCCCAGAGGTGCTGCTTCAGTCCAGCTATGCTACTCCTGTGGATCTGTGGAGCGTCGGCTGCATCTTTGCTGAGATGTTCAGACGGCGGTAAGAATTACTGTTTAAACTTATTCACTAATAACTGTGACTAGTTAACTGGAAAATTCAAGCAAACTATTCTGGGGACAAATTAGTCTCATACATGACTTGATGATCTGAGTCATGCACAAAAAATATGATTTCTGTCAAATCTTTAAATAACTTCTGCGCGCACACACACACACACACACACACACACACACACACACACACACACACACACACACACACTTAGTTTACATTTTAAATAACTTCAAATAATATTTTTATCTATTAAGTGCCACTAAATAATTCAGTAAACAATTTTAAATTCAGTCATTTTAAAATGTGATCATTTTCTCCCCATTTCTAATATCATTATTTTACTAATAGTAAAATAATTATTATTATTATCATCATTATCTATATTTTTATTATCATCATTTTTATTATTATGTTTATCATCATCCTCATTATTACTATTAATAAACTACTATTAATATTATTGTCATTGTTTAAAATCTTTAAATATTAAGATTAACCTAAAAAGCTTATGTTTTTCCCCCTCACGGTTTTATAAATCTATATTTTATATTTTAAATCCTGGTTTTGTTTTTACAGCATTATAATGAAAAAATAAATCTAAAAGGTAAAAAACACTTTTTTTTTTTTTGCATGTAAAAAATAATTTTGCAGTCAAAAAAAAAAAATGTTTCATGTTGTAGGACCACACATCTGACCACACTGGAGGTTACAGGAGGTTGAGGTTTTTTAATCAGACATGAAAAAGAGAAAACTGTCACTGTAGATGTGACAGGCACCGCAGACCTGGAGTGATCCGTTCATCTGTGTGTGGTTTAACGAATCTTTCCAACTGCTCAACTAAACACTGGCACGTTTATTAAAGCTGCTCAATCCACTGACAGCAGGATTTAATGGTTCAACGGTTCTTTCTTTGTGGCTTTTACTGTACTTCACCAGCCAGTTGTACATTAAATATTTTTACGATTGGGTTTTTTTTTAAGTTCTAAAAAGGAAAAAGATTAAGATTCATTTAATGTGTTCAACAAAAAGATGAATCGAGTTTCACATTTGTCGTTTCTTAAGTAAAAATACAGATGAGATCCTAATAAGCAAATGCGTTATGTGGAGCTGTGGTTATGATTGAATGGTTATCAATTCAAATATGTGAAAGTCCCATGTTGGTCATCATGAAGTCATGATAAAATAATTATTGAAGTTTAAATTATTAGAACTTGTCAGATATATCTATTGCACATTTGCTTAGTATTAATTATTAAATTTACCAAAAGACAATTTTATTTAGTTTTAAGTCTATATTGAGTTACTATAGACCCAGTCAATTGTGAAGGAAACAAAATCAGATTCAGTCCTACACTGTAAAAAGATATCTGTCAATTAACAGTTTCCATATTTTGAGATTCACAAGATTTTTCCATTTATTTATGTTTGTGAATTACATTATGGGATGTTGATCTCTCTGCTCTATCAAATTTTAATGTCGAAAATTGAACTACAGTTTAACAAAGTGACTTTTATTGACATTTTAGTAGTTGAAATCATGTATAAGAAATTATAGAAATAAGTAGGGGTGTAACGATTTATCGTTGTACGATTTATTGCGATGCAAAAATGTCACAATATGCATCGTAACGTTATGACGATTTGATTACGATATGACGTCCGTTTTCTCTTATTAGTTGAGCTGTTTGCACGTGAGCTACGTTCCACCTGCTGTCGCACGTGAGTTCAGATTGCCGAAAAAGAAAACGTGCACATTATTTAAACAATCATATCGCATTTTAGAGTTATGATTACGACGAGCATTAACCCTTTTGAGTACAGAGGTACATAAAAATGCACGTCAACATGATACACTTGATAGCGCCGACATCAGCGACGCCGAAGAAATAGTAAACCTGCCTTAACTGCTGAAAAGAGCCACGACTGTCCTGTGTAATGAAAAGACGGCCACCCTGTCACTCATCATGCCCAACATGAAGGCAGCCATCCATAAAAACCTCTCAGACAGATACACATGAGTTCAGGATTGTCTTATAGAACTGCTGATTACCTGGAAATGTGGATTTTTTTTGCACACACAAAAAATGCAAGTGACCAAGTAAAGCCTTAAGCCTCTTACTGTTAAATTCAATTGAATAAAAAGCTATTTTTTTGCACCTTTACTTAAATTGATCCTTAATTTTGTCTCTGTCATTTCAATAATATTTTATAAGAAATTTTTTTATTGTTTTATTTTCCAGAGACAGGCCTGTTTAATTTATTTTCTTAAAGAAGGTTCAGTTTAACAAGTTGAAACAAAAGAAATACATAAAAAATTGTTTACTTGGTTATTAAATTTTTTTAAATAAAATTTACATTTTAGTTTAATTTTCAATTTTTATTCCAAATATGGTGATACATATCGAATCGTGAACATTATATCGTGATACACATTGTATCGTGAGCTGAGTGTATCGTTACACCCCTAGAAATAAGTCTGTAAAATAACAGAAAATCTACTGGAGTTTACTACAAGGTTTTTGCAACGTACTACACAACACCAACACAGACAATATATCACTTTAAACTAATACAAATGTAAATAAAAGTCACTTTTTCAAACTTTTCAAGGTTAAAAACCTGTGGAGGAAAGATCAAAGTTCCATAATGCAATTCAAAACCATAAATAAACAGTGAAAAATAAAAACATAAATCACAAAATACTTAACAAATGCTAATTTACAGATGAACATTTTGTCTTGCTTCAGTTTGTGCGTGACAGATGTAAGAGCATTGTTGACAGGCTTCATTCCTGCCCACCGATAATGCTGAATAAACGTCCCCTCCTCTTGCGGGCTGTGGGGAATTGCGTGGGCCGCTGTTTTCCTCTCCCGACGCGCCATAACAAGTGTATAATCGGACGAACAGGGAGAGCAGTAATGGAAAGCGCCGACGCACAAGCGTGGACACTTTGACACACATCCTGCGTTTCACATTGTGACGAACCCACCTGTCCACCCCTTCCTAAACCAACCATTGATGCTGTTTGCTTTGGATAAACATTAGCTGACTCACTTCTAATACAATAATCCCATAGTGGAGATAGGAAAGTTATGCTGAGTTTTGTGCTTAAATACAGGCTTTGCGATTTCTTAATTACTATAGAAACCCTAAAAACAGCAGTTAGGCGCATTCAAGTGTTTGGTTTCCACTCGCTAAAGCCATGCTCCATAAAAACGCCACTTTTTTTCAGACTCCTGGCGCAACTCCATGATGCCCGAGGGTGGAGGGTAAAAGGGGGGTTTTCAGGGCTGCTACCAGCACACCTTTTCTCCTCCTGCAGGTGATTAAGAGGCTTTTTAAAAGGCCACCTGTTGCAGATTAAAGGGCACCTGGGACTAGGTTTCTCCTCTGATGTCTGAGAAGTGCACCGCTCAGTATGGGCCAACTCCAGTAATGGAGGTTTTTTTCATTCACCTGAGAGTTATAAAGATGTACAACAGCGTCTGCCAGAAACATATTGTTTGGCTTTGTTAAATTTAACTGTTAATGAAATGGCGTTTTCTTGGAAAGGAATGTGTAATTTAGGCCTTTGAGTGCAAAATTACTTATACATTTTATACTACTTGCATATATATATATATATATATTTATATATTTATATATATACACAGTATGTCTGATAATATTTTTTCTTCTGGAGAAAGTCTTATTTGTTTCATTTTGGCAAGAATAAATGCAGTTATTAATTTTTTAAAACCCATTTTAAGGTCAAAATTATTATCTCCTTTAGCCTTTATTTTTTTTCAATAGTCTACAGAACAAATCATCGTTATACAATAACTTGCCTAATTACTCTAACCTGCCTAGTTAACCTAATTAACCCAGTTAAGCTTTTAAATGTCACTTTAAGCTGTATAGAAGTGTCTTGAAAAATATCTAGTCAAATATTATTTACTGTCATCATGGCAAAGATAAAATAAATCAGTTATTAGAAATGAGTTATTAACTTTAATCTTTAGAAATGGGTTTAGAAAAATCTTCTCTCCGTTAAACAGAAATTGGGGACAAAAATAAACCGGTGGTGGGTGCTAATAATTCAGGGGCTAATATATACTTACAGTTGAATTCAGATTTATTAGCCGCCTTTTGATTTTTATTTTCATTTTTAAATATTTCCTAAATGATGTTTAACAGAGCAATGAAATGTTCACAGTATGTCTGATAATATTTTTTTCTTCTTGAGAAAGTCTTATTTGTTTTATTTCAGCTAGAATAAAAGCAGTTATTAATTTTTTAAAAACCATTTTTGGGACCAAATTATTAGCCCCTTTAAGCTAATTTTTATTTCGATAGTCTACAGAACAAACCACTGTTATACAATAACTTGCCTAATAACCCTAACCTGCCTAGTTAACCTAATTAACCTAGTTAAGCATTTAAATGTCACTTTAAGCTGTATAGAAGTGTCCTGAAAAATATCAAGTAAAATATTATTTACTGTCATCATGACAAACATACAGACTAAACTGACCATTCAGACTGCAGAAGCAATCAAAAGAACAATAATATGTAAGTGATATGATATCTACCCGTTGGACAAACACATTACACTGAAATAGGTTTTATAGAATAAAGGAGAATACTATGGAAGGTAATTCCTGCCAATTTTAAATAAATCAAATCAACATTGGAAATTAAAAATGAAATAAATGAATAATTTCATTATAAAACACTGTTCACAAAAGATATGCCATAGAATACAGTATATGAATAAAAATGCAGTATAAATAAAAATTGTAAATTAAGTCTTGACAAAAAAAACAAACAAACACTTTAGCCATTTTCTGAAAATGTTTAAAGACTGAAGTTGAATTAGCCATGTCAAGGTCGCCAGTAAAGGTAAAAGTACATAAGCGTGATCTTGTGTCTATATGGGAAACAAAGATCTTTGCTGCATTGATGCTCACAATTCATGACGTTGAGGTCGTGTTAATACATTTACT